AAAGTGATTCTACATGTAAAAATACGAAAAGAAAGAATGACACATTTTCATTTAAATCTGCAGCAACGAACAAGAAGAAAATTGCAGTTTATCACATTAGTAATATATTCTACGGTATAGTTTATATTTGCTCATCAAATACGAGAGCAATAGAAGTATGGTTAACATTGAAAGAATGTTCTATTTAAAACCTTAAAAATGTCCAACTAAAAGAAAAATTAACGATATCTTGCAATAGAAGCAGAGAAATTCGTTGTTAAATTGCACTTAGACGTAAGACTAAAAATTAGCGAGATACTGGACATTGTGAAAAAAAATCCTGATTCAATAGCTAGGGGTTGAAGATTCAAGCGATCGTAATACAATTTCACGCAAATAAAACTTATTCGATCGAATCTCATCGAAATCCCTAAATTTCGCTAACAGCACGCAAAACATGCCGAAAATGTCGAGCTGGTCCTAAGCCAAGGGCTGTGGACTCGCACGTAGATCGTTCGCGTCGGAGATCGGCTATGATACGAGACGTTGGCAAATTTGACGGGGATACGTTAACGCGAGGGTTTTCGAACGAATCCGCTTGGTATAACGCTTGTTAATCGCATTAGCGCCGACATCGCCGATAAATCAGACAATTAGCGGCCATAAGCGCATCGTAAATCGGAATTATCAGAATCGGCTAATGCATTTTGATGCTGTCTGTTTGCTTGGTAACGCGCTGCGGCGGGCCAGCATATATGTTTACCAGTCTTACGATCGCTGGAACCATCACCTGTTTGTTCTGTCAACTAGAAGCCCGTTTCGCTCGTCCCGTCTCGTCCTGTCATAATCGAGTCTCCAAGTAAAATTCTGCGTATCTTCGCTTCCCCTAGATACCGTTGACCATGTCTCGCCAAATCTTGGTTATTCTTAAGAATTTTCGCGACGATCCACGTGATTGCTTTGAACGTGAGAGTGAAAATTATTATCTTTTTATTCTACGTCGCAATCATTGGAGATAATTTACGATGGAAGAAGAATTAACCCTTCAATCGTTGAACTTGTACTTTGAAGGGGAGGGAGGGGAATGCGTTTCCTAAATACAAAATTTATCATACGAAGATAAATAATAGAAATAATTATGAAGTAATGCACACCGAATCTATAAATAGTAAAGTTTGTTTAAATTATTATAGATAATTGCTTAGAACTATTTTTACTAAAAAGGATAGGAAAAAATGTTTTTCTATCATTTCAATGGAACAGTGAGAGGATTTGGAAAACGGTTTTTTTTT